ATGTGGTGTAGGGGAATAGGCTCAGGCAAAGAGCCTCATGTTCAAATCCTCTAATTTGCTATGATCTTCATGGGACAGAGGGTTATCTTATTTACACCAGAGTCATTTGGAGTAACTTACTGGAATAGAGCATTTGCAACATTTAAACTGACAAAAAAGTCTAATTTGTGAGCTCACTTTGCTTGACAGAATTTGTTTATGGAGGGATAATGGAGGTGTTATGGAGGAGAATTGAAATGAAGTGTGTTTTATATTGTTTGCTGTGCATGTCGTGTTTTTTATCTAAGTCATATGATGTTATATATTCTATGACTAATTAAGTGCATAACCATTTTCAACTTAAGTACTAACCATGTACTTTTGGAGAAATGACATTTCAAGCATTAAGGCTCTGTAACTTTACCATTTAAAAGCCTCCTCGAAAAGGCTAGAAAGATGAGCATGCATCAGTAGAGAGAGAAGGGGAAGGAGGACATATTCAATTAAAATTTTGTGCAGGAATTGCCTTTTTATTAATACGTAAATATTTGCATGGGTTTTGAACACGTAAAAGTTATGAAGTCCAAAACAACATCAGTATTTTAGAGCTTCTTTGTTCATCAGCAAAAGAGAAACCAAGGTCTGAAGAAACATATGTCATTCAAAAAGTTTTCCATTGCATCTCATTGGTACTTCCATCATCTCAGAAGCCTGCTCCACGCTGCCTGTGTGATTAGACACAAAGGAGTCAGTGCAAGGTTGGTTTCAAGCCGGGATGGGATGGGAAGAGCTGAGAGTGGCACAGTTAGTGCCACATGACAAGGCAGAAATAACATTGTAGGATCATGTCAGACAACGGTAAGTTGTCAGGTTTTGACGTACCTGCTAAAAATAGGGACAAAATGTTAAAATGTTCTCTTCATGATGTATTTAGAGATAGGAATACTTTCCGGTTCATGAATTTCACATGTTGTGACATGCTCTCACTGTGATATCAGTCAGAGGTTTCACCACTGAAGTCATTGTAATTACACCAGCGAAAAACTCAAACGAAAAGTCAAGCCCTGCATTCTTGTTAGGCAAGAGCTGGTGCAAAATTTATTTGTTCATTATGCAAAGTCTTAGTAATAGGCTTTGAAAGCTACCTATAAATAATTAGATATCTATCATGATAATTAAAAACTAGAAGCAGCTCTGTAAATGTTGTTCAACTGAGTTTTGTTTCGTCATGTGCCTGGGCTACTGAATGAGTGAATTGCCGGTAACAGTACATACCATGCAAGGAGTGAAGCAGTAGCTGATCTCCTCTCCCTTGTGTGATCAGACACGGAAATACAAACATGATCTGTCCATCTTACTTTTTCCATTGTCAGTGAGCAAGGGCAGGCACTCTGTCTGCCTCTACGTGGTACTTTGATTCATCAACTGTAGCTTATCTGTTGCTGTAACAGATTAGTGCAAGCCCTGAGAATTGTTGGGCTGGAGAAGTTCCTCCAGTCCTAGAGACGCTGCTTCTTCATATCGTGAAATGGGGAGGACAAAGTTATTTCCTGTTTGAATCTGAAGTATTTGGGCCCCAGATACTGATTACAGCTAACATGGTATGATGCCTGCTTTGTGGAAGGAGCACTGTGATAATTTAGTTCCTGTCTGGTGCATAAGGTGATAACTGATGACTCGTGCAGTCAGTAGGCCTGCTAATAAAAAGGTAAGTGAATATAGATCAAGAAACCACTGATATATGAATCACCTGTACTTTGCTTCTTTCTCTGCAAAAAGAATATAGTTAGTGGAAGTGGTTATAGTTATTAATGTCAGGTCTGACAGAAAAATGTGGTTTGGCGTTAGTGACTCTGCTGGAATATAAATCATCCACCCTTTTTTTTTTGTAACAGCCAGTCAACACTGACCATAGAACCTTACTGGGAGATTCAGGGAAATTTATTTTGGGCATATTAGCCTTTCCAATGCATGAAATAGAAAAATCTAATTTGTATTTATGAAAGATGCCATTGTTCATGCTACATTTGTTGTTTTGAGTCATAATAGAGTTTCTATGACTTACAATCTTGCTGTCAACATTGCCTTTCTCCCCTGGTTTTCATTTGTAAAACAAAGATTTCTTTCAATTACGAATCAACGTGTTTACCAAATACTCATTTAGGACCTCAGAGGTCTACATTGTTTGGGGCTAAGTCCTATTTAGTTCAGGTGGCCTCCCCAGTGTATAGGGAGTTTATCTCCAAATCAGTTCATCACTAACATCAAGGAACAGATTCTGCTAACCTTAGGCAAAATGCCCATGGAAACAGCTGGTAAGCTTGCCCTTTTACAGCCTGCAGAATCCCTGGATAAGTCCGTGGCTGTATCTGAATGACAGGAAAGAACTGGGGAAGAAGAACAAAGCCAGGGAGATACAGTTCATGCTAGCAACATTTTTCAAACTGTTGAAAAACACAAGTAAGCTGTTGCTGCATAACTTTCTTCATATGATCATTAACTTCAGCATAAGGCAATTTTACATGTTTTAGTAAAAAAGTTCCTTCATATTCTCTGTGAAATTCTGAGGTTGTCTCATCTCACCTCATTTCCTTGATACTCTTTCATTGTAGACATCAGAGGTGACTTGAAGATGGCAGGGAAATTGTATCAAAGTCTCAGACTTTGTTCTGGTTGTTTGCAGAGCTCCTACCCCATCGTACCAAGTGCCTTATACACATTCATCCTCTCTGTCAAGAGGAAAATATTTAACTCAGTTTTTCATGCAGGAATAGTGAAACCAAATACAGCAGCTTGCTTAAGATCACACATATGAATGCCTGGACAGTCTGGAGAATAAACCTCCAGTTTTTGTGAATCTGCCCTCTGCGAATCAGTCCATTACAAGAATTTTTTTTTCTCCTGTGCTCATGCTCATACCCTGATATGAAAATTCATCAGTTTTCAGGAACTCTGAAGCCTGGCTGCTCACTTGGTGCCACTAGCTAGCCACCCTGCATGTAGACTGCTTGTGTAAGCAGCCCTTTCATTTGTAAAGGGCATTAAAATGTTCTGCATTTGTCTGTTTACAGCTAAACCATTTTTAGCCCTGGCTGCAAAGAAAGCCATTGTCAATCACAGATTACTTCTGCTAGGGAGTGGTTCTCACGCTGTAGCTCCTTGTTAGACAAGGAGAATGTAGGGGGTTTCCCTTCCTTTCCCTTCCCCTGCATTCCAGCCATTTAAAAGGAAACTTATTTGTAACCCAGAAGGTGAAGAATCCACACTGCCCTGCCAGTGATATTGTGGAGACTGATACTACTTTCCCAGAGTTTCTCTTCATGCAAACTTAAAAATAGATTTTTTTTCCTCCTTTAATGGTGAAATCACCGTATGACAATACCAAACCCATCTATTGTGCATTATTTTAACAGATCCCTTAAGTCTAAGGTATTGTACATTCTTTGATACAGGAAGAAATGGTTGGATTTGTTCGTATAAAACTAGCAAAAGAGGCCTGCATCTCCTTTGAGCATGTAATACAAATAATATAGCTATATTTATAGCAAGGAGAGCTTGTGTTTTTAACCTTTGTAGTAATTAACAGCAGGACAACAACTCAGATTAGTTTTAGAACCACATCAGCAACAAAACAGCAAGCAAGACTGTTTAAAGCTGCAATGAATGTGTGTAAGCGCAGACATAATTACCTTAATCCTCAGCCAATGAGTATTAAAGCCACTTAACTTAATTGCTTATTCAGTTTCTGTTTGTTGTGCAGTGATCTCGAAAAAAATTCAACAATAAGCACTCTCTCTGCTCCACTCAAGTTCAAGCTTCATTAAGCTCCCAGAAAAATGTGTGAAATTCTATCGTAAATTATTTTCTCTTCCTGCTATAGAAATTGCTTTTTGCAAAGCAGGACAAGGCGACATAGCACACACGTTTGTCGTAACTCTCTCCAGGGAGTGGTAGAGTTGGAAAGATGAGTTACATTCAGAAAAAAAGTGCTTTTAGTGGGAACATCCAGTGATCAACATGTAATACTTCAGCCTGTTAAATCTATACTCTCACCCTCTACCCCTCTTCACTTCTGTCCAAAACAGAGCCAAATCCTCCTATGCTGAGAAATTGAGACTTTTGCAGAGGGCAGTTAGATTCAAGGCTTTTGCATCATTCTAGTCCACTCACAGCTTCCAAAGAGGGCTTAAGTGAGGCTTGAAGATTGCTAGATCCCACAGACGTGATGTTCAGCCATAATGCGGTTTGCCCAAATAGCCTTTTCACCAACCATTTGAATTGATACAGCCACTGTAAAAAAAGATGATTGTCCACCAGGTGAAAGTACCTCTGAGTCACGTGGAATACCTGCATGGGCTGTCTGGCATTTTCAGGGCTTCTTTAAGGCCATGTGTTCACATACAGTAGGTGACAGTATTTTGTATTTGCTTTGATTATTGCCTGTTTGACTGTTGGTTATTCTTTACTACCTTACTACAAGATTTTAAACAAATGTGATTGACACTTTTGTAACTAGATGCTGAAATACAGGGCCTTAAACTCTGCTGTTAGTAGTACTGGTGTCTGTCCAAAGGAAATTCAGTGATGCAGGTTTATACAACAGGGAATCCCAAACAGAATTTGCCCCCCTAGCTTCATGATATATTGAATTTTCCCTTTAGTGATTTTCTGTGGGCACATTTTGCTAGAGGTTTGGGGTTTTTTAACACTACAAAGCTATCCAACAGAAGTCCAAGTCTAGCTGATTTGAG